CCCCAAAACCCCAAAACCCCAAAACCCCAAAACCCCAAGAGCTCTAGGAAAGATTGAGAATAAAATAATTTTATTATATTAAAATGGAGAACTCACTTCAACCATTGAAGGGAGACACCGTCGTAGAGTTAGAGTCAGTTATTATTATTATTCTTCACTCTTGAAATACCATAATAAATCAAAGTTTGTTGTAGTTTACTTGAGAACCTTACTTGTCTACATATCCTCAATCAACAATAACTATTCCATTTGTTGCTGATTTATTTTGAATAATGTTAAAACAATACACTTGTAGTAATGTTTTTCTCATACTTTTTAGGGTTCAGGAATAGTCTAATTAAAATTCTCTCAGTTTAACACTTCTCATCAGAAGAACATGCCTTAAATTTTCACACTCGATAAGTAGTGTAAAATTAATTGCCATTGCTAAGATTTGTTAAGCACAATTTTAAGATTTTAGTGATAGTTTTAGAGCACGAAATATTTCCAACCAGCTATTTTTAAGCAATTTTTATCAAAATAGCTGCACTCTGAAGTTTACATTTTAGGTTTAATGAATTGATATAGAGTTCTCAAGTTGCTAAACCCTATTAAATTCTGATAGGATTATAAGGGATGTTACCATCATTGAAAAGACAAATCTGATAACTTGATAATATAGTTTGGAAGAATTGGTTCTGAATGAAAGTAAAATGATCGAGATAAACTTAGTCAAGAATCATTTTTTCAATTTTTTTGAATATGAATGGACAATTGAAGAGTCAGATTCCTATAGGAGTACAAGATATTTTGACAAAAATTTACAATTGAGTATTGGTTGGCAGATTATTATGGATTTCCTTAAGAAAATACCAAATTTCAAGCTCTTGAATTTCAAAAACTTTAGCTTTGATTGAATAACAACGAGAAATAAGCGTGTAATCGATTTCTTATCATTCTCATTTCCAAAGAAGGTCATTAAGTTTGGAATTTGACATGATAGTAGCTTTTGATCAAGCATATCTCCCTATTTTAATGCAATTATTCGCCAGAGTTCAAGAGTGCTAGAGAGGGTATGCATCTTTGGGTTCAAAATAAATGCAAAACAATTCAAAAGGTTAATGGTTGCTTACACTCATGTTCAAACTATTTCATTAATTGAATGAAAGCTCTCTTTTCCTGATGCCATAGACTTTGGTGGGCTATTGAAAAATACAAAGATCAGAGATATAAATTTAAACGGATCTAGAGGAACTGATCATTCAGGTTGGGGAAACAATCCTGATGAATTCAATAGATTGATTCAGTCATTAGCTTCTTCCTATGAGTTGAAGCTCAGTCTCGGCACATTAATCATTATTGATTGCGGAATTTCATTGAGAACTGCCAGAAATGTCTTGGATGAAAATGGACTGGAAAATGTGTTTGTTTTTATTAAATAGTAGGGATTAATTTATTTACTCTTGACATTTTAGTCGGTTTGATATAGAATATTCCTTCCTTCCAATTGGTAAATCCAAGATTACTATTAGCTTGGTTTATTGTTTAAGATTGTATTTACTCTGATTTAATTAACTAAATTTTATCATCTGAAATATAATTTTCAATTCAAGAAAAGATAGACGGGGTTTTGGGGTTTTGGGGTTTTGGGG